TGGCAAGCCTGAGGGAGAAAAGGGGACAGGATAGGAGAGGCCTCTGTGGGGCAAGCAGAGGAATCCACAAAGAAGCAGAAGCGGTGGAAGGAGAGCTCAGCAGGCAATTCAAGAGAGGGAGAGAGGACAGAGACGAAGAAGGACTGACCAGCCACATGAATACCATCTCATCACATGACCCGCCGGCTGGGAAAAGACTGACCATCATCCCACCACATGCCTGCTGAGAGAAGGCTGACCACCATGACCCTACATGACCCAGGCCAGTAGAGGTGCCTGAGCGAGGGACCAGTGTGGACTGGTGGCCATACCAAAAAAGGGCTAGGAGAACCCGGACTCCAGTGGCCTTTTTGGGGGAGCACTACACAAACATAAGTTGTAAGCTAGAAACATTATTTTGAAGAGATGTGCCCTTCCAATAATCAACCTATCTATTGGTAATCCTACTCCTGTGTATTGGATATGGGGGCTCACCACAGGGCATCATAATAGTAAGAACAACTGCTTCTCACTGAAGTATAACTGGAATCTTCAGATGTCTTAAACTGAGTGGGAATCATTTGGACTAGCATAAAGCACCCTAAAGGCTTCTCTTTCTTAAGTGTGCATCAGGGAAACATATTCGGGTAACAGTCAGTGCACTTTATACATTTGCCAATTGAGTTCTTTCCCTGAGTTAATATAGGCTAAGAGAAATCTGCTTACACCCTTGGCACGATAATGTGTTGATAGTCAGTTGTAGAGGTAGACCTCGACTTAACAACTACAATTGAGCCCAAAATTTCTGTTGCTAAGCAAGACATTTTTTAAGTGAATTGTGCCCCATTTTATAACTTTTCTCTCCACAGTTGTTAAGCGAATCACTGCAGTTCTTAAGTTAGTAACATGGTTGTTAAGTGAATCTGACTTCCCCATTGACTTTTCTTGTCAGAAGAAAAATGATCACATGGCTCCAAGACACTGCAACTGTCATAAATATGAATCAGTTGCCAAGGGTCTGAATTTTGTTCATGTGACCATAGGGATGCTACAATGATTTTAAGTGAAAAATGATCATGGCACTTTTTTCAGTGTCATTGTAACTTTGAACCATCACTAAATGAACTGTTGTAAATCAAGGATTACATGTAGTAAAATGTTATATATTCTTATTTTTAAATAAGTTTTGTTGAAGCCCAAATATAGCCAGCATACAGCCCAAATCTGCAAAGATGAAGTCAGGCTCAAAATGAAGTAAGACTTGCAACAAATGGCAAAAAAAAATTTTTTTTAATGATCTTTATTAGTTATTTACAAATTAAAAAACATATAATTATCAAATCAATATAAGTTATATATATATAGACAACACAACACATAAAGACAACTACAAGGAAGGACTAACGGTGAATCATAACGATCCCCCAGATATCTATTCATAGTTACATCCCAGTAAATCTTTTTGTTCAGATAATATTGACTGTTTTAAATACCAAACGCTATCTAATTATAAACAAATATATATTTAATACTGTATTGTTTACTTTATATTTGTCCTTTTCTTTAGCCATATATACCAGGGTTCCCAGTTACTGTAGTATATGGATTCTTTTTTCTCTCTTAGGATATATGTTAGTTTGTCCAATTCGGCACAATTCAATATCTTATTTATTATAAATTGATCTGATTGTGTATTTGCATTTTTCCATTGCTGGGCAAGTGCCATCCTTGCTGCTGTTGTAATATAGATGAATAAGTGCCAATCTTGTTTGCCCACGTCTTTTAGTTTAATTCCAAGTAAGTAAGAATCTGGAATTAGAGGGAAGCTTGCACCTGTTATCTCGTTCAACCATTTTGAATCTTTTCCCAAAACTTCCTAATCTGAGGGCAGGTCCACCACTGGTGGAAAAAAGTACCCCTGGCCAAATTACACTTCCAACATTTGTTCGATGATCCAGGGAACATTTTAGCTATCCTAGCTGGTGGGAGGTACCACCTATAAATCATTTTGTAAAAGTTCTCTTTAAATGCCGCTGATAATGTCAATTTCATTGATCTATTCCATATTCCCTGCCATTCCTCAAGTTGCATCATCTTCCTAAGTTTTTCCCCCAGGCAATCATCGTATCTTTCACTATCTCCTCGGCTAAATACCTTGATAGTAAAAGATTATAGGTCTTAGATATGAATTTTGTTTCAACACCCAGAAGAAGTCTATCCAACGGTTGTGTCGTTCGGTAAATACCATATTCTTGTTTGTCTTTACAGAATCTAGCTTGAATTTGAGCGTATGACCACCAGTCTATGTCTATTCCTTTTAATTGAAGTTCCTTTCTTGATATTAAATTCCCTCCTCCATCCATCAGGATATTGTAGGACCAATTTCTTTTTATATTATAAAGAGTCGGGTAGGTTGCCATCTCCAATGGGACAACCCATTTAGGAACTTGGGTATAAGTTTGTTTCTTCACCTTTTCCCATACTTTTATTAAAATTCTTCTAATATTTCTTTTTATATTATAAAGAGTCGGGTAGGTTGCCATCTCCAATGGGACAACCCATTTAGGAACTTGGGTATAAGTTTGTTTCTTCACCTTTTCCCATACTTTTATTAAAATTCTTCTAATATAATGGTTATTAAAATATTTAGATTGTTTCCCTTGTGCCCACAAAGCTGAGTGCCAGCCTTGGTGAAGATCAAATCCTTCAACCGTTAATATGCATTTTCTCGAAAGGGATACCCAGTCTCTTATCCAAAGAAGGGACGAGGCTTGGTAATATAACTCCCAATTTGGGAGCCCCAAGCCCCACCTCGTTTTGTGCTCCTGTAGCATTTTTCTTTTAATTCGTGTTTTTTTCCCTTGCCAAATAAATTTGCTTATTATCTGATCCAATTTCCTAAAAAAAAAATTTATCCAAATTTACAGGAGCTGTTTGGAATAGAAAAATCCACCGTGGGAGTATATGGGC